TTGCATTCAACTTCCTCTTCCTTTGCTTCACATTACCTCCACAGTGTGTGCGCTTCTCTATATGCTGAATCTCCTGTGAGGGTTCATCTGCAGCACACCACTCTCAAGCATCCATCTTTCAACTGTCAGATTACATGCACCCTCTTCAGAATGATTAGTCAAAATCTTTCTTGATTTTGTCATAGCTGTGTTTACACATGCAAGCCTGAAGTTGCAAGCATTTTTAGTTGAGCACTCCCTGAGCTATGTGTTTTCACAACTGTTTTCAATTCCTGGTACCTCATTAAAACATTATCATATTGAATGGGCGAGCCGTTTATAAGCAAGTATGTGTACACATACAAGGAATTTGACTAAGTTGCTGTCAGTGTACTTTGGCCACCCCTGGACTAACACTGCTGCTATGCAGTGAAAACTGTGTTCTTTTATCAGCATCAGCACAGTGCACATGTGTGCAGACACAAACTCCATCAAAAGACTCTACAGGCTGCTGTCAGTTCATCCTGACCGATCCTGTCGGAGTGTCTGGAGATTCAAGTAATCAAAGACATTATGCTGCTGTACATCATGTGTAAATGCGCACAGTATCTTTCTAAATGGGGAGACGATTCATCCTATTTCACTCATCCCCCACCTATGCAGGACATCTCACTATCAGAACAATGCACCCATCATACACGTGCAGAGGGGGGTGTGATGGATTTTTGAGCACCTGCCCTTTTGCCCTTTGATGCCCAAAGGGCCCTTTTATCAATGAAAAATTTCATTAATTAATTTATTTGTAAATTTAAAAATAAGGCCCTTTTGTGAAGGCCTGCCCAATGGAACTATTAGTTAAATGAATGAATAATAATTTTGCAGTAAATAAAATGACACACATTATGACCTTTCACCTGATGACCTCATCCGTGACGAGCCCTCCCGTTCAGACACCGTTAGTAATTCAGCAGCTCTGATTACAGGACACCTGTGATTCCGCCCGTAAGTGGGGTTTGCCGCCATGTGCTTCTTCAAACCTCTCCCTTACTTACAGTACTGCGTCCTATTTAGATTATTTCCCACATTTTTTTGAACCTGGTATCTTATTTCCTCTACCTGCAGCTCTCTGTGAGCATCTCCCTCTCATTTTCTCATAGCAGTCAGCCTTGGCAGCGGCTGCAGCACTACAGCAGGTCAGTCATAGTGAGCCAGTCCCAACACTGTCAACAATGTTTACATCTTGTAATCAGCTAATATAGCTCCAATGTTTGTTATAATATCTCTAGTCACAGATCACAACTAGTAGTGTCAGCAGCAACATCCCCAGCAACCCCTCAACAGCAACTGTTCTGATATTTTGAGAACAGGCCGATTTAAATCCTTGTTCCATGTGCCCCTTTTATACTTTGAGCACCTGCCCTTCCAAAGGTCTCTGCACGGCCCATTAAACATAGCTGTGTTTACACATGCAAGCCTGAAGTTGCAAGCATTTTTAGTTGAGCACTCCCTGAGCTATGTGTTTTCACAACTGTTTTCAATTCCTGGTACCTCATTAAAACATTATCATATTGAATGGGCGAGCCGTTTATAAGCAAGTATGTGTACACATACAAGGAATTTGACTAAGTTGCTGTCAGTGTACTTTGGCCACCCCTGGACTAACACTGCTGCTATGCAGTGAAAACTGTGTTCTTTTATCAGCATCAGCACAGTGCACATTTGTGCAGACACAAACTCCATCAAAAGACTCTACAGGAAATTTTTGATGACCACCGATTTAAATCCTTGTTCCATGTGCCCCTTTTATACTTTGAGCACCTGCCCTTCCAAAGGTCTCTGCACGGCCCATTAAACAGCATGACAGTAACCCAAAAGTAATGCAAAAGTAGTGTAAAGCATTAAAATTCAGAGACAGCAATATTGTAATATAACTTATCAAATGACTAGTCATCGTGTTACATTTTGGAAGTAACTTGCCCAACACTGCTGCTAATGCAAACTGAACATTTCTGCTTGTAGCTTAACACTAAAAGCATTCAACTGGTGAAACACGAGTTGACATTTATAATGATGTTGTCACAGAAGTGCAATGTTTTTGTGAGCTTATCATTAATCAAAAATGCGTCTAAAAAAACAAGACAGGGTTCGTTTTCATTTTTGACAGCAGATCATTTTACAATGTTGCAGGAAGTAGCCTAATGGAAGTCAGGAGCAGCCACAGTGAGCTGTTGCATGAAGATCTGCAGGCAACAAGCTGCACACCTCCAACTCAGAGAGGCACCAACTGCTTTCACTTTTGGTGCTCGCACAGCGTAGGCCTAAAATCTTGATACAGACTTGATGCTGTTAACGACAATAATTTATTGACTATAAATTAAATATGTGATACATTGAGAGAGAATGTGAAAAGTCATTTGGTAGGGTATCTTAAGAAGGGGGTGGAGCTGCAGAGCATAGAACAACCCTCCGTGGAGTCCAGAGACTGGTGGTGGTAGGATGAAAGGGTGAAGAAAATGCTGGAGATGTGGATGAGAAGAGGGGAATCTTCTGCTGAGCTGAACTGGCATGGATCTGGAGAGCAGGAGGTGAATGGGGCGGAGGAGGGCTGCAGTGATTCGTACTGAATGACAGCTGTCAGCAGAAGAGAGAGTGTGACAGAGACTTCACAATTGGCTGAGCTGATTGTGGTGAAACTAGGTGAGAAAGCCCATAGACAGCTGTTAGGGGCAGGGAGAGAAGGAGTGTAAGAGCAAGAGATTCGTTAGAAGGTCTTCTTGGTTGATCTAACTCTGAGCTTCATTAAGCTGCGTTCTCTGCTGCAATTCTGCTGCTACTATTTATTCATTATTGCTGTTCACCATAACAGTTCCTTTAACTATATAAATATTGCACATATCTACACTCCTTTATATATTTCTTTTATATTTTTACTCTGATATTTATATACTTCTTTATTTACCATCTTTATATCTTATTTATGTTCCTTTTGTGCAATGTGTGAAACTGTGACAGAATTTCCCCTGGGGGATCTATAAAGTATTTCTGATTGTGATTCTGATAAGGACAGTGAGTGTGTGTGCGTGCATGTGCTTTGGTTCTGCCATCTGTGTGTCTTGCATGCACGAGCATGATGCATGTGGTCAAACAAATAAAGTATGTGTAAATTTTTGGGTTCAGTATCTCGCCCAGGATACTTTGACATGCAAACTAGGGGAGCCGAGGATTGAACCACCAACCTTCCACTCTACAAAGAAGAGCCAGTGAAAACAGCGATGTTGCATTGTGCTGCGTTTTTTATCTACAAGATGGCGTCAGAGGTCACAAGTCATTGATCATTCATAGCTACAAGCTGGGTCTCTGGGCTGAGCTCACACCTCAGTGTCCTCCTGGAGGACTGTGGACAGCTGATGTTCTACACACTGCCACCGGGGGAATATAGCAAAATTTCAAATACGGCCAGTGGGTTGGGGTTTTTTTTAACTGTAAAATACAGGAGTATCCAGGGAAAAAACGGTAGGGTTGACAGGTATGCCTTAACTACACTCTCCTCCTGCCTACTCTATTCCATGTTACACAGCTGCTCCTCACATGGACAGCCACCTCCTTCCACCTGTTGCTGCACCACAGATGTTTGGTTCTGAGTATGACACGAGATGCAGAGTGTTTCCGCTGGTGAAGTCTTTGACATAAAGCAAAATAATCACTAAAGAGTAAAAGTGCTCCTCTATGTGTGGCCCCCATTATTTTCCAGCACTGCCTTAACTCTCTTGGGCATGGAGTTCAGCAGAGCTTCACAGGTTGCCACTGGAGTCCTCTTCCACTCCTCCATGACGACATCACGGAGCTGGTGGATGTTAGAGACCTTGTGCTTCTCCACCTTCTGTTTGAGGAGCCCCACAGATTCTCAACAGGGTTTAGGTCTGGAGACATGCTCGGCCCCTCCATCACCTTTACCTTCAGCTTCTTTAGCGAGGCAGCGGTCGTCTTGGAGGTGTGTTTGGGGTCGTTATCATGCTGGAATACTGCCCTGCGGCCCGGTCTCTGAAGGGAGGGGATCATGCTTCAGTATGGTCACAGGACATGTTGGCATTCATGGTTCCCTCAAAGAACTGGAGCTCCCCAGTGGCGGCAGCACTCATGCAGCCCCAGACCAGGACACTCCAACCACCATGCTTGACTGTAGGAAAGACACACTTGTCTTTGAACTCCTCACCTGGTTGCCGCCACACACGTTTGACACCATCTGAACCAAATACGTTTATCTTGGTCTCATCAGACCACAGGACGTGGTTCCAGTGATCCATGTCCTTAGTCTGCCTGTCTTCAGCAAACTGTTTGCGGGCTTTCTTGTGCATCATCTTTAGAAGAGACTTCCTTCTGGGACGGCGGCCATGCAGACCAATTTGATGCAGTGCGCAGCGTATAGTCTGAGCACTGACAGGCTGACCCCCCAACCCTTCAACCTCTGCAGCAATGCTGGCAGCACTCATACGCGTATTTCCCAAAGAGAACCTCTGGATATGACGCTGAGCACGTCCCCTCAACTTCTTTGGTCGACCATAGCGAGGCCTGTTCTGAGTGGAACCTGTCCTGTTGAACCGCTGTATGGTCTTGGCCACCGTGCTGCAACTCAGTTTCAGGGTCTTGGCAATCTTCTTATAGCCTAGGCCATCTTCATGTAGAGCAACCATTCTTTTTTTCAGATCCTCAGAGAGTTCTTTGCCATGAGGTGCCATGTTGAACTTCCAGTGACCAGAATGAGGGAGTGTGAGAGCAATAACACCAAATTTAACACACCTGCTCCCCATCCACACCTGAGACTTTGTAACACTAACGAGTCACATGACACTGGGGAGGGAAAAGGGCTAATTGGGCCCAATTTGGCCATTTTCACATAGACTCACTTTTGTTGCCAGCAGTTTAGACATGGCTGTTTGATGTGTTATTATGTTAAAAGGAAGTTTTTCCTTGCCTCTGTCGCCTAGTGCTGCTCTTGGTGGGAACTGTTGGGCTTCTGTAAATAACATCACAGAGTACGGTCTAGACCTGCTCTTTTATGAGAAGCGCAGTGTGTATATAGCAGACATTTAAAAATGGTGTTACACATGGCAGTGTGTCGGAGCCATACTGAGTTCTTTAATTTAAATAAACCTGACTCCAGGTGGCTCCTCAGGAATGTTTGTCAGCCACTTCACAGTGTTTCCCATACATCCCTATCTATCTCTATCTAATGAGCAGTTGGCATTTTGCCTCTACGTCGCTACAACTTCTCGATCAGCACTGCTCATTACTAAAATGCTGTGTCGGCATGGAGATGAGAGTTGACAGAAGTCTCTGTTGATCTAAAACACTTATACCCTGTACCCTGAATGTGATGCAAGTGTTATTTAGCTGCTGCAGCTCATTTCCCTCTATAGTTTTAACGTACTGAGTATAATTTGAATAAACACTAAAAAGGAGGAAGTGTTTCATGGAAAAAACCCCCCCCCCAGCAGTATGAAGTGTAAATATATACGAAACCATTTGCCATTTGCCTCTGCTCTGCCTCTGCCGACTCATGCAGAGCTTCCTGTCTATCTAAGCCATGGAGAGCACACAACAGAGCCAACTGTTTCATTTGATCATAGGTGAGAAGCAGTTTCTGAAATTCAGCTATTCTTTCTTTCATTTACATCTTTTACCATGTTCTAGGTTATTGTATTTAATGAGCAATGCTATTTTTTTTCTCCTACAGTCTCCCTTCTTTTTACTTTATATGCATCTGCTTCAGGTAAGTCATATGTTCTGTTTGCTACAAAATATTTATAGCTTTACATTTTAATGATATGTGTAAATTAAATCGATTAATAAAATATATATAAAATGCATGCTTCGTTTAATCCATATAACTAAACAGAACACTGTTTTATACTATACAGAACACATTTATTACTGTCGCACATCGCGCTTACGCTGTGAATGCGTGATTATAATGGAGCCGTTTGCAAAGTGGAGGAAGAGATAGAAAATAGTGAGGGACAAAGAAGAAAGTGTCTAAAGTATGGTATTATTTCAAGCTAAAGAAAACAACTCTGTAATGTTACCGTCCGTCCACCATAAAACGAAACTTTTGTCGCCTCGGCAACAGCACGACGGCACCTTATTAGAAACCAGCCGGTGACCGGACAGACAAGGTAACAGTAACAGAAACTTTAGCATTTAACTGAAATCATGATTGATTGTTGAGTTGAAGCCAAAATAAGCCGCAGACCTCAGCTGAAAATGTGCACATGTGCGTTTGTTGTTCTCCTTTTTGGGCCTTGCAGTCAAGAGTTAACTGGGTGTCGGGGAGCTGCAACTTTTAACTCCCCTGCAGCTCTCTCTGTAGCCCAGACAATCCCTGCTACCTGCGTGTGCTAATCCATCCTTTCACCCAGATTCTTTGTCTTTACAATCGGCATCTTTACAATAACTAACAGCTGTTTCGTGTGCAGGATCGCTCATTTCCCATTTCACATTTCCCGTTCGTTTTCTAGACATAACCTGGTTTGGAGACCAGCGTCGGGTGACACAACCGCTGTCAGCTCGTGTGGAGTGTGACCCCCTGTCACCGATCAGTCACGTAGTGTAAACGCCAGAACGACTTCAAGACTCCCGTCCGTTACAAGACGGCAAGTTGTGTGAACTGAACGGCCATCAGCCGACGCTGAAAGTCGTGTAGTCTGCACGAGCCTTTAGTATAACTTGTATAGCACTCGGGTGATGTTTGTTTATGTTTGTAAAGCAGCTGTCTGGTTGTTGGTCTGATGTTTGCTGTATGACACACTATGAATTTCCGAAAGGACCATTAAATATCTATCACCTAGAAACGTGCACAGCTGATCCCGTTACGGGGGGTGGGGCAGGCAAAGTACTTCTTAAACGACGCATCGATGAATCGTTGAAATAATCTATAGAAGCTTCGAATACTAAAATCATCGTTAGCTGCAGCCGTAGTGTAAGTTATATTATGAAAATATTGTAACAGTTTTTTCTTTCTTTAGGCGGTCAGATCAGACTAGCTGGGTCCGGGTCTACTCAGTGCTCTGGAACAGTTGAATTCTATCACAACAACACCTGGGGAACAGTCTGTGATGATGACTGGGACTTATATGATGCTGAGGTGGTGTGCAGGGAGCTGGGCTGTGGAACGCCACTGGGAGCCCCCCAGTCGGCCCACTTTGGAAAAGGAACTGGACGAATCTGGCTTAATAAGGTGGTCTGTTCAGGAAGTGAAAGGTCTCTAACTGAGTGTCAGCACAAAGGATTTGGCCAACACAACTGTGACCATGATGAAGATGCTGGTGTCATTTGTTCAGGTGAGATACATTTTGGATCACAACAGAACGTGAATTGCTATGAATGGAATCTTTTCTCCCATTTGGTTTTACAGCAATATCATATATTGTCTGTTTACATGAAGTTAATTATATAAAGTCATGAAACATGTACCTAATGTGTAGAAATAGTTGCTGCCATGAACACATGCAAACAGAAAACACGCATGTTGTTCTGTGCCTAGGTTTGCCGATCAGATTATCTGGCTCTACTCGGTGCTCTGGAAGAGTTGAAATCTATCACAACAACACCTGGGGAACAGTCTGTGATGACAACTGGGACTTAAATGATATGAAGGTGGTGTGCAGGGAGCTGGGCTGTGGGAGTGCTTCTAAATCGGCGCCGTTTGGTGAAGGAGTGGGACAAATCTGGCTTGGTGATGTGGCCTGTTCAGGAAAGGAAACATCTCTAACTGAGTGTCAGCACAGGGGATTTGGCACTCACAGCTGTTCACACAGTAAGGATGCTGGTGTGGTCTGTTCAGGTGAGAAAAATGCTTGATCACTTACAGTTTCTCCAAATATTTGAACTTTTTTACTACATTTCTAACTTGTGATGGGTGTTGCATCTGCATGTGCTGTGGAGGTATTAATGTTCAGGTTTTTGAGACACAGTCACTGTGCGCTTTTAGGCCACAAGAGTGTAAGGCACTCTAGCAGGTTGATCTCAGGTTGAAGTAAAGCAAATTATATATGTAATTTTTTTATAAATGTGTATTAAAATGGTTCAGTGTATTCCTGTGGCTTGTGTGTTTAATGAATGAAAAGCAAATTTCCCTTGGAATAGTTGACTTTGAAACGTTTAAGTTGTAAGCCACATTTAACTAATGAAATATCTTTAAAATCATGTGTTTTATTTAAGCTCTTGTGACTGTTGATTTTACTTCTATTAATTTAGTAAAACACTAAGGACCCTATTTTAAACAATTATTGCACAAGTGCCAGTTGAACAGCACATAATCCGGGCACAAAGTAGGCACAAAAGGGTTGTACTTAGTGTACATGCAAGTGTGATGCAGACTCGCAGCAGAGAGAGAGCTCATGTAAACAAGAGAGAGTGTGAACAGGACAGGTAGTGCTGACTTGATGTAAAAACTTTCATTGAGCCTATGTTACTCTAAAATTCGTTGGTTTACCAGTAAATTGTATGAATTACACTGCAACCTGGAGTGTCTGTTACACTGTAAAAATTATCTACAGTAGGTGGTTCAACTTAAAAACTTAAGTTAATTGCTGCCTTAAAAATGTGAGTAACTCAACTTTAAGAAAAGCTTTGTTTCAACTCATGATGTTCCGTTATATAATTTGTTTAATTAATGATAATATGTTGTTTGTACTTAATACTGTGAGTTAAATCAACTATCTATATTACATTGTCCATTCAAGGAAACTTGCTTTCACTTGTCTAACAAACATAAAATTCTACACCCCTTCAACTCACATTTTTAAGTTCAGATAAATCACCTTGAAGATTGCCTTTGTTTCAACTCATAAATTTAAGTTCATAAAGTGGATATAACTACAGTGTTCTAGTTGTCCCAATGTTAGTTAAATGAACAAGTTTGAGTTAGTTACTCTAACTCATAGTTTCAAGTTAAAGCAACTTAACCAAATTAATACTACTTTCCATTTCAAGTTAAGGGATTTAAATTCCAAATTTGTTATAGTTTACATCTATAAAGGGCCTTGAAGACAGACCCCAACAACAGCGCCACTGTGCAATTATCTTCAATGACTTGGGCAGGGTAGCTTGCTGGTCAAAGTTCAAAATAGCAGCAGATGTCATTTCCTTTCTGAAAGGGCCTTAAGGCCGTTGTCTGGAACCCTTTCCACCGGTGGCACTAGTCTTGTTTACCACAGATTTTCTGTTGATATTCTATATAGTCTATATTTCGGTTGGAATTTGAATATATGACTTATCAGCAGTGTATAATTAGCAGGGGTGAGCAAGAGCACCAAATCTTCTGTATCTGTGCTCAGAATGGGCGGGGCGTAATCTATAAGTGGGTGGTATTAACTGGAAGTTATTTAAGCCTGAAATTTCTATCAGAACTTGCTATATTTATTAGAAAACCATTTACAGAACAGCCTCAGAATTGAGCTTCAGAGAATAGTAATTGATTTTTTTATATTCATATATTTATAGTTTATAACAAAACAGATACTGACACATTTTACTCTGATACTTATAGAAAGTATCTGTACCGGATTCTCGTTTTAACCGAGTACTTGCTAAACCCTAATAATTAGTTGATTATGTATGTGTTTTTGTCAAACTCAAAAGATGCAGCACCCTCGTAATCTCTCCTTTTTTTTTCAACTGATAACTTACATGTCATGATTCATACGGAAGTTCAATCAACACGACAAAAGTGTCAAATAGTCAACACAATGAATTAATGCAATGTTTAACTTTCTAAAATTCATACAGTTGAGTTCGAAATCCAAAACTTGTCAGAGCTATTTGAGTTAAAAAGAAGAAGTAAGTTGACATGATTAAATGGGTCTATGATTCTTTTCAGTGTAACAGTGACAGACAGGCAGAGCTGTGACCCGTTAAATACCTTGTCTCCTCTATGAAGCATCTGTATATATTATCGATTAAATAGTCAGTGCATCCTGACTGATCCGGGAGTGTTAAATAATCAATGAACGCACGTGTCAGTATTAATGGGGAGAATCTTACTATTTAAATAATGTATGCCCATATGGCGAAACAATTTATCAGTAACCACTCAGTAATTAGGCAAACCATAGTTTGCTACAGTGCTTGATTAAATATCTTTGTTTTAATGGCATACGTTCTTTTTATACTGTGCCCAGGTGTGCCGATCAGATTAGTTGGGCCTACTTTGTGCTCTGGAAGAGTTGAAATCTACTACAACAACAGCTGGGGAGCAGTCTGTGGTGACAGCTGGGACATAAATGATGCTAAGGTGGTTTGCAGAGAGTTGGACTGTGGGAGGGCACAGAGTGCCACTCAGTCATCCTACTCCAACCGAGTCTGGCTTAATGAGGTAAACTGTTCAGGAAGTGAAAGGTCTCTAACGGAGTGTCAGCACAGAGGATTTGGGAGTAGCAGCTGTTCAAACAGAAAGCACGCTGGTGTGGTCTGTAAAGGTGAGAAGACATTTTGATCACTTTTGTATTTTAATGTTTTTTATAATATATAAGGATAATAATAATAATTACAGGCAAATGACACAATTCTGAATGGAAAAGGAACTGGAATGAATCTGTATAGAGACACAAAGCTCCACAGCCTACAAAGTTTAAAATCTGGAATAGTATCACCAACAAGTCATTCTAAAGGTCTACATGGCTTTAGGCTGCCCTTGTTTGGGCCTGTCTAATTCGGCATGGGTGTGAGTGGTGTACTTCGGAAAGTTCACACACTTCCTCTCTAACTTAACTTATTTTTGTTCAAATTGTGCGGCTCACATTGGTTTCACCTACAGCAGTGGGCAGCAATTGGCAGCCCACGGGTCAAATTAATAAATACATAAATGAATACTTTGATAGCGACTGGTGCTGAAATAGATCTCAGTCATGTCAGCAACAGTACCTCTTAAGTGATTGTGCCAACAAAATAACACACAAGAAAGTTTTTTGCAGCAATTCTTTATTTCGAGTTGAATTGAGAGCTTTTACTTTGAAAGGTTCTGAAAGACATTCAGAAGAGTCTGTGGCTTGTGTAACACACCCCTTAAGTAGCCGTCACTAGCCGTACTACTGCGTTTTCAAATTAACTCATAAAAAAATAAATTCATATTGTAATGTTAGCTTTTGATTTTCATGGTAATTATATAATGAATAAAGTGCTTCCGTTGTATTAAACTGCATGTAGGTAGAGAGACAGTTTTTAAAGAACTAAAGAAGAAGTATAGAGAAATGTGATATGAATCCTAAAGAAGTTTTTAGCTGTGCGCCATATAAGGCTTGTCTCACCATTCAAACTGCCAGAGAACAACAGGAATGTCACTTGTATATAGATTTATTGTCATGATTCACTCAAAAAAAAGGGAGGGGGTGCTGGTATTATTGTGGTTGTACAAGTTAAATAAAATCACAACCTGTTTCACTGAATATTTTCTTATTTTTTCCAGCAATCCTCCCAAAGCCCAGCATCTACATAAATCCTGGTGGTGAGGTTGCCTGGGGTCAGAACACCGGCATCACTTGTTCAATATCAACTCAAACTCAACAGCTTTTACTTGGAACGTTCACTCTGAAGCAGACCTCAGGCTCATACAGTCAGAACCAAACAGTAAAAACCAACTCTGCCACCTTCACCCTTAAAGTGGACTTTGATAAAGAGGGATCATATCAGTGTCAGTATTATCAACACTCCAGCTCCCCCCTAAGTGATTCTGTCAATCTCTCTGTTGCTGGTAAGAAACGTAAATGAATAAAAAGACAGAACGCAACAGTAAAGGAACATCACTTGCATGCTTGAAAGGTTTTACATCTGTGGCCATGTGTTGACTTTAAGCAAGCTTAAAGCTAGCTTTAGTATAGCAGGTGTCCTTTGAATTATTACAATATTAAAGCATGTCCAAACTGCTCAAAACAACGTTTCAGTGTCAAAGCAGGAAGTGTAACATTTTTATTGCAAGGTGAGAAAATAACAGGAAGGTGGGGGGCGCAGTATAAGTGTCATACTTTCATATTGGAAACTGACCAATTGTGAATGTTTTTTCCCCTCATCTGCACTACTGGTAACTTTATGACTAAACTCAAATGTTTGTGCCGACTCCAGTGCATAATTATTCATGTAAGGTAAATTGAATAGGCATTTACATGAGGGAGACATCAGAAAACATATTGACAGAGTGGCTGGAATTGATCAACAGACCACTCGCTCAATAAGGGGATTGCTGTGAGTTCACGGTAATAGCTCAAGGTGACTTAGAAAAATCCACCTTAAACAAAAACATTTAGGGTAACAAAATAAACATTTGGAAAGTAAGGGGAACATCTGAGGCAGTTTGAATTTGTTTAAATGTTTTTTATATAATTATTATTTATAAAATATAAAATTAAATATTATACTTGTAAACCAGAATAAAGAAGAATTCATAGATAGTTTTAGATAGATAGATACTTTTAATAACCACTGAATAAGGTAAACAATGTTTTCATTGCTTAATGATAATTACCCATTGAAAAAGTCCACAGTTAATCTAACTTGTTAGGCACAGTTTTTCAGAACAGTATAGCTTCTTTATCTTCTTTACCCTTTTTTATCACAGTGCCTCTGCAGCAGCCCAGCATCTACCTGACATTTTCTAACAGAGAGCTGGTCTGGAGTCCTGAAGTTGCAGAGGTGACATGGGGTTACAGCTTTGCTTTCACCTGCTCCATTAACTCCAACAGTCCTGGAGGTGTTTTCTCTCTCATCTTCTCTGGCTCCAATATCACCAACACCAAGCCAGCAGTCAAGGGATCAGCATCCTTTAACTTCCCTGTAGCTCAGTATGAACACCAGGGAAACTACAGCTGTGTGTATGAACTCACACTCTCCTCAAGGAAATTCACCTCTACCGAAGCAACACCAATTAGTATTATCATTAAATGTAAGTAAACTGAACATTTAAAAGCATTGTTCTAATTTATGGACATTTAGGCCACTATGTCAACATGGTTAATGTCATATAAGCTACTGGCACAGTGAACTTTCACACTTCACCCAATGTTGGTGCAGATTTGTTTTCCAGACAAAATAAGAGGGGAATATTATGACTGCCTGACTGTTAACACTTATTACCTGCGGTCTGTGCAGGATCAACTAGTGGCCAGAATCTAAACCCGAATCAAAATGTAGTTCTATTTAGAATCTACTTTTTATACGATGGAGAGCCAAAGGGTTCATAATTTAATAGATGAATAGGAGATATTCATCCCAACTGGGCGCACTTTGATGTTCCCGCCTGTGTCTGCTTCTGCTGCGAGTTTGGCATATCGCAGCATCTTCTGCTCATGTGCCTTGTCATCAACATCCTCCCAAGTGACTGTTGATGAAGACCGTAGATCTGGGCTCGGTCTAGTGCAGGTGATTTGCTGGCAGATGTGTAGTTGAATCAGAACTAGATTCAGGTCTTCTATACAATTGAGGAGTATTAATTTTGCTGTATGAGATCCGGGCGGAAGAGGAACAGGACACAAGCCCGCGAGATGAGACAGCATGGCTGCTGGACAGTGTTGTGAGGTAGGTCTGTGGAAGGATGCCCACTCGCAAAAGGTCGGAACCACAAGGCTCTGCCAGGTGAGGCAACTGCAATACTACTTTGTCTTTAGATACTGTACGCTGCTCATAAAAAACTGTCAGAAACAGACTCCATCAGGGTGGCATGAGTACCGAAAGTCCTCTAGTGGGATCTGTGCTCACAGCCCAGCATCATGCAACTCAATTGGCATTTTCCAGAGAACACCAGTATTGGCAGGTCCGCCATTGGTGCTCCATTCTTTTCACAGATGAGAGTAGGTGCACGTCGTGGTGGACATAATGCTGCCTTGCAACATCATCCAGCATGACCGGTTTGGAGGTGGGTCAGTGTTCTTCTGGAGAGGCATATCTTGGAGGGCTGCACAGACCTCCACGTGCTAGCCAACGGTAACCTGACTGCTGTTAGGTACCAGGATAAAATCCTCACCATTGTTAGACCTTACAGTAGTGCAGTGGGGTCTGGGTTCTTCCTGGTACAGAACAATGCCTGGCCTCAGTGTGTAGGCAGTTCTTGGATGATGAAGGCATTGATGCCACTGACTGGCCCCCGTGTTCCCCAGACGTGAATCAAATTGAGAACCAATTGGATGTATTGTGCATCCAACACCAAGTGATACGACAGACTGTCCTGGAGTTTACTGATGTCCTGATCCAGATCTGGGAGGAGATCCTCCAGGACACCATCCGCCGTCTCATCAGGAGCATATCCAGGTGTGCATACTGGCATGTGGGGGCCAAACACACTGCTGAGTCACATCATGAGTTGCCTTCATGAAAGTTATACAAGTTGGATCAGCCTGTGAATACATTTTTTTTCCTTAAGTTGTGATTTTGAATCTACCCCTCAATCGGTTGTTGATTTTGATTTCCTTTGATCGTTGCTATGTCAGTTTGTTCTCAGTAAATTGTGAAAATGGACAGTAAAGATTTGGAACTTTCTATTTCATTCATCATTCATCATCTTCATTCATCGTCTTAAATCAGTGTTAGACGTGCGCAGTGTAGCTGAGCCAGTATGTTAGATCTAAAGAAGGCATTGGTTTCTGCTACCTATGGTGTTGTACTGTCCACACGTGTCCAACTATAAATGTTGTTAAAATGATGATGAAATCTGATGATGAACTTGTGATCAACAACCAAAGGTCTGCCTTGAGAACTGGCTCACTTAATCCCTGCTGTACAACATTGAGAGAGTCCCCAAGATCACATTTAAGCCCAAGTCTTGTTAAATGTCTTGGACCAGTCTGTCCTGAACTTAGTCATTAGCACCTGATTGACACACTGAGCATTATACCTAAATTATGGGATGTTGAATCATCCAATATGGACATAATAGATACTGGGCTGATTAAATTGTAATGCACAGCTACCATACACACTCTGTTGGAATCAGCGCAACTTGCTCTTTTCAATGATAGCAACACCAATCAAGTGGCCAGTCTGTATATAATTCATTACAGTTTTTAAAACTTAGCATCATCATCATATTTAGTGATCTGATAATAGTAGTAAAGAGTAGTAAGAAGTGTAAACAGGAAGTTCTAATAGGTCATGCAGCACGACTTTCCATTGTGCAGATTTACCAAAAATAGAAAGATGTGAAACACAAGGTTCAGTTGTTATTCATCTTCTATATCGCATTTCCTGTTTACACCGGCCAAAGCATTATGAAATTATGCATATTTTTAAGGATAAACATTTCAATGTTTTTCTCTAGTCCCTTTGTTGCTGCTGGTCTCCTCAGTAGCAGGTGGGGGTTTGCTGCTGCTCCTGCTGGTCTTGGTGGTGGTCTGTCTGGTCCTCAGGAGAAGACGACAAACAAGGCAGCCTGGAACCCTGGTCCAAACTAAATGTGTGTGCTCATCAGGACACAGTGCATACCATTATTAGACTAACTTTGCAGATTTTTAGAGATTTGAGTTCTTACGACAAATTTGTTCTGATGCTTGTGTTTCAGTGAGCGTCAGGAACACTCATCACGATGAGAAAGAGGGGGACTATGCGGAAGTTTATTCACTGGCCACCAAGAGGAAACAGAGAGAGCGAGATGAAGTGGAGGTTGAAGATGATTACAATTATGGGGAAGAGATTACAGACAATCAAATACATGCTGCAAAGGTTTTTGATATTACAGTGGACAACAGTGTGGGACAAGGAGACGAAGAAGAAACCTGGGATGATGAAGATTACTACGAAAATCTAACCCAGCCATTTACTGAACATGTTGCGGATATTTATGTAGAATGTGAGGGTATTTATCAAAACCTTTAAATTTTCACTGGTCAACCGAGGTTCTCCTCATTGGCACCAAATCCACTTTGACAAAATCTGTTTCCCCCTCCCCTCAGGTCAAGAGTCTGGGTGTGATCCTCGACAGCACACTTTCATTTCAAGCTCACATAAATAATGTAACTCGGTCTGCATACTTCCATTTACGTAACATTAATCGCCTCTGACCGTCTCTCTCACCCACCAGTACAGCTATTCTCATTCACACACTGGTCACATCCCGCACTGATTATCGTAATTCTCTTCTCGTTGGTCTTCCTCTCAAATCCATACATAAACTTCAACTGGTTCAGATCTCCGCTGCCCAGATCATCACCAGAACCCCTTCTATTAATCATATTACTCCTGTCCTTCAGCAGCTTTATTGGCTCCCAGTTAAATACCACATTGATATCAAGAATCTGCTCCTGACCTTCAAGGCCATTCACAACCTCCTTCATAACACACCCCCCCGTACTCTTACATCTTCTTCTTCTATTCAGCTCACTGTACCTCCTGCTCGTCTGACCACCATGGGATTCAGAGCCTTCAGCTGCTCTGCCCCTCGTCTCTGGAACTCTCTTCCACCAGACATACGTAACATTGACTCGCTTTCCATTTTTAAATCCCGCCTGAAAACATATCTTTTTAAACTGGCATATCCCACGTGATCATTCTTTCTCAATCTTTGTTTCCAGTTGTTACGTACCCTGATTTTATCAACACATTCTCATCTCAATGCGTCATAACTGACGCTTTCAGACAGCGTGACAAAGCGTAAGGATTTTACGCTAAAGGTACCCTTCAGCGTCCGTATGAAACGCCCGTTTCCTACGTTGCAGCGACACAAGGGAGGCTAACCCTACCTGTTAGCACATCGGCCATGAGGCCAAATACCTACGCTTTGTCACTCTTTCTCAAATCATTGGTAAATGACGCCCTGAGATGAGAACGGGCTCGATTTTATGCACGGTAATTATAGTTGTTAATTTTATTGATTTATTGTTGTACTGTTTTATTATATTTTGTGAGGTGACCTTGAGTGTTCAGGAAGGCGCCTATAAATAAAATGTATTATTATTATTATTATGGTTAATATTATTAAATGTGCCACACTGATTATCATGGACAAAGGACTCAACTAGTGACCAAGCTTGGAGACAGACCTTGGAGGTGCCATCCTTTCATATGAGTATCACTTTACTGTTCATGTGGTCAAATATTTTTGGGATACATTATAAGTTAGGTAAAGTAAATAAGTTGTGTAGTGTTTAGTGTAGTATAGTGTATTTTGTGAAACTGTTAAGTAACTGTCAAACAGCTGGGGCAGCGGTCTGTGTTTCAATGATGCTCAGGAAAAGGCAAAGAAATAGTACAAATGTAGCACATTTACACTTAAAATTTATACGCTTCACATTAACTTTACATTAAACTGCTTACAGCAACTAACAATTTGAGACGCATTGATGTATTGACCATTTTTAAGATCTATGTAATCCCTGGAGTCAGAGTGACTCAGAGGGCAATGTGGTATTTAGGATGTGGGAGCCAGCCAGCATTCACTTATCAAGCGCCTCTATTACAGAACCAGGTCCCAGTTCTGGAATCAGACATTACCACTTTTAAGGACTTAAGACTTTTCTGTTTGATAAAGTTCTAGTTATTTTATTTTGTTTATTTTATTCAGGCTGTATTTTATCCAATGTTTGTTGTGCTTTCTGTATTTTGTTTCTGTGTATTTTGTAAAGTGTATTGGGTCCATGTATTTTGGTGATTTTGCACTTTAAATAAAACTTGATTGATTGATGTGTGTGAGTTGCTGTGAGTCTATCATTAGATGCTGAATAAAGAAAATAACAAATTCAAAAACAGTTCAAATACGTTCTCATACGCTCACGTACACAAAACAGACCGATGCACTCCGGCACACACAGCTACTCACAAGTGGCAACCATTAAACATGAAAAAACTTAAATGTTTTAAGTTTGAGTTCTGTTTGGATTGTAGTCTGTTAGCTACAGATGAGCCAAAGCATTTTGTGAGACAGACTATTATTATAAGTTTGAAGTAGATTTACTGGGAGCCAGTGAAATTATGTGTCAGGACAACATCCGTCCTATAGTTTGTTTTTCGGTTAACCATCAAAGAGGGCCAGCATCCCCGCCCCTTGTGGGAGCCCCTCCCCCATGGTTCGTGTCTGGCCAGGCGGCTGCTCCTGTGGGCGCACACTCACCTGCTCTCTATCAAAGCAGAATACATCCCTGGCGTGCTGAACGGAGGGGCAGACATCATGTCGAGGGGGGGCCCTCGCCCAGACGAGTGGCTTTGGTTTTCACTGAGCCCACGGGACGTTCCCCCGCTGGGGGTGGACGCCTTCGCTCACCCCCTTTGGCCTCCCCGGCTGCTGTATGCTTGTCCGGCTTGTGCGGCTGATTCCGCGCCTGTTTCCAGCGGTTGCTGGCGGGGCAGCTGTGGAAACTCCTCTGGAGGGGGAATGCTCTCTCTCAGGCGGGGGGTGCTATCAGGTGTTACCCTCTCCTCGGCCAGCCTCTCTGGGTCTGGCCGCTGAGAGGCAATGTCTGTAGGGCTTAGGCCTCTCCCGTGAGGTGGTTCGCACCATCCAGGGGTCGAGAGCCCTCCTACTCCTCTAAGTGGTTGGCTTTCCAACACTGGTGTCTGGACCAGTGGATGGACCTGGTCGCCTGTCCACTGCCGGCGGTGCTTTTGTTCCTCCAGCTGGCGTTCAGTATGGTTAAAACCTACGCTGCCGCCATTAAGTCCTGTCACGAGGGCTTCGGGGACAGGACTGTGTTCTCCCACCCCCTGGTGAAGCATTTCCTTGGGGGGGTGCGGCGGTGCAGGTCAGTGACGCGACCTGTTGCCCCACAGTGAGCATTGGTACTGGTTTTACGCACCTCAACCCAAGCCCCGTTTGAGATTCATTTCAGCTAAGGTCGCCTTGCTCCTGGCTCTGACATCGGCCAAGAGGGTCAGCGATCTGGCTGCCCTCTCCATGGCTCCGTTGTGTGTCAAGATTCAGGGCGACGGCAGCTCGGCTGTTCTGTGCCCTAACCTGGCGTTCATGCCTAAAAGCATTACGAGCTCCTTTCGGTCGCGGGTCATCACCCTCTTGGGTTGTTTTCCTCCCCCCATGGGTCGGTGGAGGACGCCACGTCCCACCTCCTCTGCCCAGTGCGAGTGCTGTCCTGTTATGTGGCGCGCACTGTTACAGTAAGTGGTCTGGTGAGGCAGGGTTGAGCAGGTTGGAGGACCCAAACGCAGGACACAGAGCGGAGGAGGTATAGTTCAGTGCTTTAATTAAACAAACAAAAAGCGAGCACACTTACATACAGACAACAGGGGGTAACAGAGAGAACACTTAGACAAGCAGACATGGGTGAATAACCAAGAATGCACAAGTATGAGCTAAACAGAACCAGTAAATGAACAAGGGAATTTACAAGACTAAACAGGGAACACAAGACCAGGAGTAAACACAAAACATATTAACTAATGTACAGGACTAGGAACTAACTGAACAAGACTACACAGAGAAACACAAAACCAAAAACAGACTTAAACAGGAAAGACATGAACACAAAACCCACACTCTTAACACGCACGGCTGCCTGCCGCCGTTCAGTGCGAGGGACTTCCCCTGTTGGCACAGCGCCTGTCTCACTGGCTGTGCGATGCCATTTCCCAGGCGTACACGTCTGCCGGGGAGCACTCGAGCACGAGAGGCATCTCTTCCTCTGTGGCATTGCACGGTGGGATGACAGTGGATGTCATCTGCATGGCGGTCTCCTGGTCGTCCCCATGCTCTTTCGTCTGTTTCCACCTGCGGAATGTCTCCCAACTCTCTTTGACACACTCAGTACTGAGTGTTTTGGCTGAGTGATTCTCCTTGTGAGTGTGCGGTGCGCCCTCTCCCACGGTGGCCGCTGCTTACGTGGCCCTGCCTTGTGCACAGCTGATGCGGTTGCTGTCGTGACCCCAACTGCGTCAATACAGCTGCGAGGCCCCCTACCCAGTTTCCCGACTTGCGCATAGGTCGGCCCTCGGCCTCCCATGCCACGCCATCGGTGCTCGTGCGCACGCCAGCACTAATGCCGCGGTCGGCGGGCGACTGGGTGGCTCATTATAGCTCTGGGCAGGTGAGTTGTGCTTTGTGGTACCGTATGGGCCAGTGAGGCGTTGACCCATCCTCTAACCCAATAGCGATAGCCTTAGAGGGCGAAGCCTATACGAAATAGAACGGGGGTTACAGACCCGGATTCTATGAGTATAGGCGCAGCCCTCTAAGCTGAAGGCCTCACTGTACCGTTGTTCTCAGGCAATTGGGAGCCGAAGGCTGAGTCTCACCGTATATATACAAGGTGCGGACGTAGGAGAGGCCCACGCTGTGGATGGGCGTAGACTAAAATTCTCATTGCCGTGCAGTCGCGCGGAAGGGGTAAACCCAATAGCGATAGCCTTAGAGGGCTGCGCCTATACTCATAGAATCCGGTTTACATTACGTAACCCCTGTTCTTTAAGGAAGCCTGGAACCAACATGGACTCATGTCATCAGTCTCCATATGTCCTGTGGACACGATTTCGAGAGGCCGAAGATCCTGATGAGACTGAAGATGTCTGAGTGCTGACAGTCAAAATGGGTTAGGGAAGATGACATCAGTTTTACATTTTACAACGTGTGAAAAGATGGAGATGGACAGCGCCATCCTGTATTTTAGCGCCTGTGATTAAATACCATGCATCCACCGATATTAACCTTTTTATTACAAATAACAATCTAAATAATAATAAATATATTTTAGAAGAAGGGTGTTTAGGATACTTGTATAATCTATGCAAAGGAGCACTGAGGCTTTTTAACACAAATGCATTTTGGATTCCCTTCCAATTTTCCACTTACTGCATACGCGTGGAAATAATCTGTCGTGGTAAAAAAAAAAAGTCTGGCTATATTGGCTTCTTGTTATCAAGATGGAGGACAACTATGGCATTGACTGGGATGGACCACATGAGCAGGAAGCAACTGGACTTCCAGTTCCTGATATTTTACTGCCCCAAGTGCTCACCGCAGAGGAGACAAAGACTACAAAACCCAGATGTGTCCCTCATGGATTCAGTTGATGTTTACACGGCAACTGTTGAGCAAACGATGGACATGTTGGGAGAGAAAAAATAAAATGCAAAGGAAACTTTAACACTGTTCAGAGTTTATTGTTTTGAAGCCAAACTGTAATTTCCTGCCAACATTTTGTGTTACTCTAAAACATATATACATGTTTGCCATACAACTTCTCAAAAAAAACAAAAAACGGCCGGTGTCAAGTACAATTCCTAATGACTTTGACATGTTTTTAAAATGTATGTATTTTATGTGTAATGTAAAATCCACACGTGATATGCTGCAATAATCACATAGAACCTATGCTATCAACTCCAGATCCTTGCTTTGCTACATTAACATTGTCGAACATAATGCACACTCCCTCTAAAATTAGATCAAGCCAAACCCAAACTTGCCTTCAAAGTCTTCAAAGTCTGTACAAAAGCATTATATGTTGCATCAAGGGTATTTTCAGTGTTGAAAAGGGGGAGGCAGTAGGCATTGACAGGCATGGAGACACCACCACATAGAGATGCTCAGAGAGAACAATCCAACCTGTCCAAAACATTAGCAGTTCTTCTTTTAGGTCTTCAGTAGAACCTGTAACAATTCATTTGAAAGGGGAGATCAATCAAATTTAGTTTGTCATACAATTCTGTCAAAGTCAATGTAATTGAGGGTGACCAAACTGTAACAACATACTGTCATGGAAATTGTATGACTTTCAAGAATTTATTATTAAAAACAGTGATTTTATATACACGCACACTAAAAGTTCTTGTATATATTTTGTTTGAAAGGAGAATGCAAGCGGGAGGGTCACACTAGAGGAAAGGTCATGATGTCACCAACATTGACAGGTTCATTCTGAGTAATGTGAACATACTTTCAACATATCATTGAAATTGGACGAATATATTTGGAGCTATAACATTTGCTATCATGGACTGTTGATGGTGCTATAGGCAAGAGTTATGTAGTCATTGAAATCATAAATTAATATCTTTAGATAATTACATCAACCACGACATTTAACATTTTACTGGATGAAATTACGAGTACTGACATTTAAATTAATATAACTTTAGGCCTTAAAAATACCTCTGTAAAAGCAATAATCCTTCCAGATTTGACTTAACTGATGTAACCCAAATATCTGTACATATATGAATAAATTATAGAGAAAACACACAAGATCAAGAAGTATTTGTCATACCATTTTGAATGTAGTCCCATAGAAAGCCTGTGACTTGGCATGATTTTTCCAGGTTCATATCTGTATCCTCATCGTCAGGCTCTGGCCAAATAACCCTCTTCAAGATAATCTACAAGATAAATATCATATCATCCTCACTTTTCACCTTATTCTTTTTTAATTTTGACAAAGATTACCTTTCAGAAACAATGGGACAAGAATGTCTTCCATTAAATACGTGCTATATGCATGTTGCGGAAAATCTGCATATATTGGTTTATAATCAACCAAAATACTTATTATTTTACCAGGGTTATTTTGAATAAATATGATGAGTAATACCTCTGGTTCCATAACATGGGACTCAGATCTGGGAAACAAGACCTCTGTTAGTGCTGGGCATTCCTTCAACATGGGGAGAACACCGGTATCCTTCAAGCTGTTGCGCATTTGCTTTGCTTATTTTTCTCATCTGCCAATGACCTGTTAAAA